TTATTATTGATCTTATAGGATGTATTATTTCAGTTGTACATTTCTATTTCAGTTGTACACTTCCATTAGCATTTTCTGCCATTGTTTATATGCAAGTTTGCCCAATATACATATTTTTTGCAGATAAATTTCCCCTAAAATAACACATTTTTTGTGTTACTTTCACTAATGTGCGTTTTTACGGGCACTCAAACCTAGCATATCCATTTTTATACAAGTTACTTGGTTTGATAACAGCATTGTAAAATTTGGAGAATTGTAAAATTTGAAGGATAGCTTTGCTTCAGCTCCTGTTTTGTTTTAGAAAATACAAAGGAGGGGCTCTGTGTGATATGACAGATGGGTGAGACCCCTCCCTTGACTCAGAGATAGTTAGAAGGACAAAGCCTGAATTTAGAGTTTGCAGTGATATGACCTAGAAGTAAAGCAGGTAGCTGGAGAAAGAATCGGAGTGCAATGTTTGATGTCTGTTTGAACCCATGGCTGTGGCTATCCAAGACCCTTTTGGGGTGCTAATGCTGCAAACCCCTCCATCGTAGGCTCAGGTTGCATATATGTGTAAATAAGCCATAAATCATGAAGATACCACTGTCTCTGCTGTGCCTCATTTCCAAAAGGAAACATGAACCCTGGGTAAGCGTCTGGAGCCCCTGGAATCTTGCAGAGCTCAGAGACTGGAGTGACGTGCAGCAATATTAAGACTGCATCCTAAAATGGCCTGATAGGGAGAAAGAAACACATTTTGCAAGCTAGATCTCTCATCCCCTATGAACAAGATGGTCCCTAGGTCGCCCTGTTGTAGCAGTTTGGGGAAAGAGAAGCTACCTCAGCTGGAATGTGAGGGGTTAGATAGATGGGCAGCTTGATAGGCTGTTCTGTCTTCTCCTTCCTCCCCTCTGAGAAAGGTGGTCCTTTGGCAGCCTTGTGGTAGCAGTAGTTCATTTTTAGAGAAGAAGAAACAGTTACCTGTGCATAGCCTGGCAGGAGATGCCTTTACGAACAGCTTGTGTCAATCAATTTATCTGTGAGCGATCACAAAAACGACTGAATCAGTCAAGACACACACCCCTTCTTTGTGGGCAGAACTGTCTCCAGCAAACAGGCCCATTTACATAGCCTAACACATGCAGGTGTCCTCCCAAGCTGAGGAAATTACATATTGGGATCTTGTTAAAAGATTCAAGCAGTTTGCCGTGATTACTGTGTGTCAGAAGCATTTGGGTAGAGAGATTTGAGTGACAGTGAAGAGAAGGCACAGAAGAAGAGGAGAGATACACGCTCAGGAACAATAGATAATATAGTTAGGAAAGCACAACGTTTTCATTCTGTGTAGGTTTCACAGTTGAAAGATAATTAATAATAAAAATAACAGCATGTAGCCTTGTGATGTACTTTACTTTGTTCCATCAACCGTTTCTGAAGGGTACCATCCATCTTGTGGTCTTGATCATCATTAGCACATGCATTCCTCTTTGCATGTCTCCAGTAGATCTGTTCCCCAAAAGCAGAATCGAGCCATTTCCAGAGTTGTATGAATAAAGAAGAGGATGCATCACTATGCTGCATCTTTCCCTTCCAATTCTGCCTGCCAGGGATCAGGTCACCAGGTCAGGCTTGAAACCTTGTCAGAGCCAAAGTGCTGGAGGCCGCAGATCCGCTAAGGGCAAGCCAATGTTCTGGTCAGAAAGCAGCTCTTGGTCAGAAGCCAGAGGACAAAGCTAAATGATAAACAAGGAGCTCAGAATGAGGGAAGCAGAATCTGTGCCAGGGGTTACGTGGGTGGGCAGACTGGATCAGAAGGTGAGGGGTTGGATTTCAGGGGTGGAGCTGGATTAAGGAATGCCGGAGTGAGAATTGTGCTGAGCTAGATTCTGGGACCCCATACCTCTGCCTGAACCCACTCAGAGGCCTGCAGGGTTGGTGCACGTGTTGATCACTTGATTGCCTATCACATCATCCCTTAGTACGCAAAGCTGAGTGTTTGAAACTCCACTGAAAAGCATCTTGCTTGAGATGAAGCTGATGGGTGATACGCAACTTCTCTGTGTGGGGTTGCATACATGATAGCACATTCATGTAAGCAGGTCATGAAATTCTTATTTTATCTGTAAGTTGCCTTGAGTTCCTGTTAAGGAAAAGGGTCAGAAAATAAACAAATAGATGAAGAGATAAATAATGCAGTCATCATGTGATGAGCATGCACGTGTAAACTGGTATTATTATCCTGCCCAGATGGCATGTGTGCACAGAGGTCTACATGAATCTATTCTCAAGTAACTAAAGCATGGGTAGGCAAACTAAGGCCCAGGGGCCGGATCTGGCCCAATCACCTCCTAAATCCGGCCCACGGAAGGTCCGGGAATTAGCGTATTTTTACATGAGTAGAAAGTGTGCTTTTATTTAAAATGCATCTCTGGGTTATTTGTGGGGCATAAGAATTCATTCATTTCCCCCCCCAAAAATATAGTCCAGCCCCCCCAAGGTCTGAGGGACAGTGGACCGGCCCCCTGCTGAAAAAGTTTGCTGACTCCTGAAAGCCAAGGTGCAGTATCTCCATCCTGATAGGGTTGCATCTGGGCCACCAGCTGAAGCTGATGGAAGGCACTCTGCACTATGAGGCAACTTGTGACAGCAGTAGACCCAGAGGTATTCCCAAGCTATGCACCTACTCTTTCAGGGAGAGTGCAGCCCCATCCAGAACAAGTTGCACCCCCCATACAGTTTGAGGGACCACTAAGTGCATTAGTCTATCTGGATTAAGCTTCAGTGTGTTGGTTCTCATCTAGTTCATTACCAGAACCTGGCATTAGTTAAGTACATCCTCTAGCCAGAAATAGAACTGCATACCAACAGCATATTGATGACAGTGAATTCCAAAACTCAGGATGACTCCACTCAGCAGTTCCATGTAGATGTTAGATAGCGTGGGATGTAAAATTGACCCCTGTAGCACCCCGCTTTGGATGAAGCTAAACAGCACCTCATAAGCACCAGCTTCTGGAGATGGCTATCCAAGTAGGACTGGCACCACCACAAAGTGACAATCTACTCCCAACTCAGACAGCTGCTCCAGAAGGATACCAAGGTTAATGGTATCAAAAGCCACCAAGAGATGAAGGAGAATCGACAGGGTCACACTCCCTGCTTTTTCTTTCCAGATGACTACACGGCAGTCAAGGTGGTTTCCATGCCAAAATCAGACCTAAACCTTGTTTGAAATGGATCTAGAAAATCAGTCTCATCCAAGAGAACATAGATCTGGTCAACAACCACCTGCTCAAGAACCAAGCCCAGGAAGGGGACATTAGTGACCAGGCAACAGTTATTCAGATCTTCCTGGTTCAGGTAGAATTTCTTAAGGAATGATCTTAATGCTGCCTCCTTCGGGCAGCCAGGGACTGCCCGCTCTCATATGGAAACTCATCCCTGGCTCAATGGACCATTCCTTCACTACTCAATTTTATCAGCCATAAGGGAAAGGATCAAGACTACAAGTGGAGTTTATACAAGCACCTTATTCACATCCTTGAGCTGTACCAGCTGAAACTCACTCAACAAAGAGGACCAGTGCCTCTTGAGATCTGTCTTCTATAACAGAAGAGCTAAGGTCCCGACGGATGCAAGCGACTATCCTTGAAATGCTTTGCAAACAATCACAGTGTACCACTGTGAGTTCCAAAACCCCTTTGGGCCAGCATGTAGGAAAATCCCCACTGGACAGCATAAAGAAGATGCAGTGGAGACAGCAAAGTCATTCTTGTTTGCTAGCTCACGAGGCAAGGTAAAATGGGAAGCAAACAGAAAACATTGGTGCTAAATAGATTAGCCAAATTCTAATGCACCCCATCTCTTCATTTCTGGTAAATTAATCCATCTGTAAGACGTATCCCACATTACAACCCTCATGTCTAACTTTACTGGGCATTTCAGGATTGCTACTTTTCCTCCTTTCCTCTGCTCTCCTCCTTCTCCCTTATGCAATCCATCTTCCCAAACCCATCCTGACAGATGTTGCCCTCCTGGTGACGTCCAGTGCACACAGCCTATTGCATGAAAACTAGTTTTGTGGGTGAATGCAGCATGAGCAGTGACCCTACTAGCATCCCTGCTAAAAATACAACTTGTTCCTTTTGGCAGTGCAGGGATTTGCTTTCAGATAGGTATGTAGACTCGCCCCCTGGATGCACTGTACTTTTGTACCCACTGGAGGGCATGGTGTAACCTTTTGTGCTCCTCACCGGGAAACAATTCAGAGGTGCGGGGCACCAGGTAAATCTTCTATAAACGCATAAGCAGCAAGGATCCCAGTGCCCTTGCTCCATTACTTCCCAGTAAAATACCTTTTTGGTCAACACACACAGCAATCCCTCCAGGCTTCTCCTTCTGTAGCTTATATAATTCTGCATAGGTCTACTGTAGGTTTCACAATTCTTGCTAACTGCAGCCCTTTGCCAATATAATTTGGAGATAACTACCATTGAATTCGGGACACGGGTGGCGCTGTGGGTAAAACCTCAGCGCCTAGGACTTGCCGATCGCATGGTCGGCGGTTCGAATCCCCGCGGTGGGGTGCGCTCCCGTCGTTCGGTACCAGCGCCTGCCAACCTAGCAGTTCGAAAGCACCTCCGGGTGCAAGTAGATAAATAGGGACCGCTTACCAGCGGGAAGGTAAACGGCATTCCGTGTGCTGCGCTGGATTGCCAGATGCAGCTTGTCACGCTGGCCACGTGACCCGGAAGTGTCTGCGGACAGCACTGGCTCCCGGCCTATAGAGTGAGATGAGCGCACAACCCTAGAGTCTGGCAAGACTGGCCCGTACGGGCAGGGGTACCTTTACCTTTACCTTTTACCATTGAATTCAGAAGGGTTTACTTGAACTACGCATGCATATCATTCATATGGCTATTTTAATTCAAATTGTCACCCCCTGAAATATGGCTGTTTAATTTGATTGCTATGGTAGAATCATACCGCTCTGCTCAAAGGTGACCACTTACACATCATATAGCTCAGTCAGTACAGCATGAGACTCTTAATCTCAGGGTTGTGGGTTGAAGCACCATGTTGGGCAAAAGATTCCTGCATTGCAAGAGGTTGGACTAGATAACCCTCGTGGTCCCGTTCAGCAGTTAAGGAGGCAGTTTCTTCATGTGCTGGAGAGGGAAGTGTGGGGTAGATGGGGCCCGTCAATCTGAGAAGATAGCAAATCTAGAAGAAGAACTCTGATGCTAAACTGCTGCCTTGTGGGATATTTTTTGGGAGAAGACAAGGCTAAGGTGTAAATCCTGTACAAATCTGGAGTGGAGTCCTTGTACAGTCGTACCTCGGGTTAAGTACTTAATTCGTTCCGGAGGTCTGTTCTTAACCTGAAACTGTTCTTAACCTGAAGCACCACTTTAGCTAATTGGGCCTCCTGCTGCCGCCGCGCCAAGCTGGTTCCAAACCTTTGGACCACATCAGCAAAGCTGAGAGGAGGATCTTGTCATCTGGGCAGCCCAGGACCTCCATACACACTGGCCAGGCTTGTGCCCTAAGGAGGTAACTTCAGTGATGCTAATTTAGAAAGCAACAATGTGGAAGGCAGCAGTTACCGGTCTCTGCAGCCACAGCAGGTGCTGTGATTCTCCAGCAGTTTGACTTCACCCCTGGAGGCACACTCCATTGTCTCTTGAGACAGACAGTTGCCAACAACTAGAATAGTGGTGGCATGGGAATATAAAAGACCTGTAAGGTTTCTAGGGTTGCCGTATGTCCAGATCTCCCCAGACATATCCGGAATACTGTAGTCGGCAGCAGTGTCCAGGTGGGAATTGGAAAAAATGTCCAGGAAAATCTGGACGTATGGCAGTCTTATGTTGGCAGTGCCATTTTTCCATACAAATGTTCAAAAACGGCATTATTTCAAGATTTTTACCTAAAAAGCTCAACAACGTTGGGCAAAAATGAAATAAATAAATGCTCAACAACTTTTCCAGATTTTCACTGTTTGAAATATGGCAACCCTAGGTTTTCCAGCATCCTTTGATAAGACTGTAGACCAAAAGGGCATGGGTTGGTTAAACAAATGAGTAGTAGAATATTTGTCCTTCCTGCTTTGCAAAATACGCAGTGTCCCCTGACCAATATTAATTGCCTGACACTTTTCTTTAAAAAGCTTGTCCATTTCCCACCTATTATCAGTTTCCAAGCTAAGGTATTGCAACAACTTTAAATGAGCTTGTATTTAAATAAATTAATGTTATGAGGGAGAGCAAGGGAGGACTGTCTAGGTGGGGTGGCAACTCTTAATTTTACGTGACTGCCGAACTTAATATTTTTTCTCGTGCAATCTCTTTTTTGCTAGTCGTGCATGGTTAATCTGACTTCAGTTAAATAATGGGAACCAATATTAAGAAAGAAATCCATAAGCATCTAATATATAAAAGCTATGAGCGTAAGCAGCTTGGGCTCATAAGAAATTAATCATGCTAGATGAACTACTCAATCACTAAAGAAAACTTAATTGCAAAATGAGTGTGTCGGAGAAGTTCAGCGACTGTGATGAAGTGGTGTTTAGCGAGAGTATCTGTTACCATGCGCCACAAAAGCTTACCTGAGATATTAATTCTAATTGGCTCATATAGATGCATATTTAGAGCGTCTAAACATTGGCTAAAGGGCTGCGTTGCAACAGGCATGGCCACTGCCTTGAAATAAGGGTTGCCAAGGAGCCGCAAAGGCTGGCCCAAGCCAAGGCTGCCTTTCCACCATTAACTAGCTAAAAGAGGGAAAAATTCAATGAATTAATCTTGAAGATAATAATGTGGGAGGGGCTGCAAGCTTCAGTCAAGCTGTGGAAGCAATATGCAGGGTGTGGGATATTTTACGTAAGGAGAAGAAGGAAACAACGTTAAACTAGGGAAACATACCGGCTATAGAGAAAATATCTCAAATGCTGGATATGCAAGTTCTGAATGGGTTTGGTGGAAGTTACAAAATGTCTGTGGTTAATTGTGACGGAAATGGAATGAGGATGTGACACTGGTGAACTAAAGTCAGATAAACAAATTCCTGCTCCTGCCTCTAAATTAGGATCTGTGTCTTTTTCAACTGGCCACCGCTCATCTGACCTATCCTTGTATGTTTCCATGTTCCCTCAGTCGGAGGAAGGGCTGGCCAGTTCTGTAAGAGTTTCCAGTCAGGGCTTGGCTGTTCTGTTTGCTGCACTCTCGGAACATCTGTGCTTATAATAATGAGCTCCACCCATTAACGCAGCCTTTCTATGGACTCATATATATTACTCCATGTGAAATGCCACTGGCAAGAACATTTATGAGGCCTGGTCTTCTCAAGGCAGTTCTGTAGCATGGTGTAACTCGGACTTCTCTAAAGCGTTAGGAGGATCCTATGCTGCTGCAGTTGCTGCTGTATTAACTAAGCCATGATCTGGCTTGGCATTATGTCCAAACTCAAACTTGTGGTTTGTTGCACCCCAGACAAACTATAAGCTATAACCAAGGGGAGATGAACCACAAGCCCAGATTTGCATAGAGTTGTGTAGTGTGGCTGCAGCAGAACTGGGAGAGGAGCACAGTGGAACCAGCATGTTTCCACTTAGACCTTCCCTCTGAAAACCCACTTGTTCCTTGTGAGCTGCGCCATTTTGTCCTCAGGCACCAGGGCCGAAACGACACATTGCCTTAGTTATGTATTTGCTCCTCTAAGTACAGTATTTGGTGTTGTTGTTTTTACACAAATTGCCAGTGTAGGGCCTCTGATGTGAATTGGGATCCTGAGGCAGGGGCTTTAATCTGCCCCTCAGTATGGTCCTGATCAGGGGCTCCACATTGGCAATTTTTATTTAAAAACTCTAAACTTAAAGGCACAGCTACATAAGCTAACAGTACATGTACCCTGCCCCATAGTTTCTGAATGGCAAAACATGAGGGATGAATTAGAAAACCCTGAAAGAAGAATGATCCAGATGGCGAGGTTGCTGGCTGATAAAATTTTATGGAAATAAGATGTTTTTGTTTGACCAAGGGATGCCCATTCCAGTTTATGACAATTCTATTCCAGAAGTATCTAGAGTGTTAAATGCCAAGTAATGAGAGACTGTCGGAAAGTACCAAGTAGGTAATAACGAGGTGGAATAAAATGCAATTGCTTACTTTCATTCTGAAGGCTGAAGTCCAAATCTCTGCGATAAATTAGATTGCGAGTTTAGTCTCCTGGGGAGGATGTGGCATTGTCCTCTTGTGGGTAATAGAAAAGTAAAAAGGACAACACATTAGAAAAATAGCGTGCTTAAGGGACAAAACAGCCCTGGCTGCTGTGAAGGGAAAGGGCAGTGGGGAAGAGGGATGGGAGCCGCAGACGCTTAATAGTTCTCTTCTGTCTCCAATTTCAGTAATTCTGCAAAATCCCCACTAATAGGGCTAAGCCACCGAGTGTTGGCTAACAATCCATAGCACTCTGCCTGCTTCACAAAGCATTCTAAAGCATATTAATTTACAGCTGAGAATTAAATAATCAGTTCTTTCTTTTGTTTCTCTGAAAATATTCCCCCTCACCTTCTATTTCCTCACTTTCATCTATTCCCGTCATTTTCACCTCTGCTCAGACCTGTGCACATTTACTCAAAGGTAAGCAAATTAGGTACAATGAAGCTTGCTCCCAAGTAAATGAGCGTGGGGTAGGACATTTACACGGGAGTAAGAAATATGGAACGGGTGGGACTCACTTCTGAATAAATACAGATTGTGCGGTCCACCTCTTAAATATTGTATCATGTTTTAAGAATTTAAAGCTGTGTGTTCTTGAGCAGGTAACGCAGGGAGTGCGGAATTGCTGCTGCCAAAGCTTGAGATACGGCCTTCTGACCATGTTGCACATGTGTTTGCTTGGCACAGCATAAGCTTCAGCGTAAATAATTACTTTTCTTAAGAACATGACTGAGCCAAAGAAGTTCTTGCATCCTTACTCTTTAAATATTTATAAAATGACCGCATTCCCCTCTTTGCAAATGTGCGGCTCCCGCTAGTAGATTTGCCACAGTGATTAATGGGTATGTGCGTGTTTGCGCATCACTTCCTTCAGGTGCACTTTTCCCTGAGGAAAGGGGAGGGGGTAGCCTTTCTTTTAAAAAAAAAAATCCCAAAAGAAAGCCATTATTCAAATGTCTATAGCTTTCTGAAATTGCCTCCTTCCAGTGAAATTGCCTCCTTCCAATTGCTGTCTCCTTCAAAAGGGATGGAAAACATTTTCTTATGCCCTATAATTCCTCCTGCTGCTGTTTGCTTATAAATCAGAAATGCATTTCATTGTCAACAATCCCCCCCCCCAAAAAAACCCAGAACTCCTATTTTGCTACTGCTAAAATGAAGAGATTGCTGGGATCTGAATCATTGTGAATTGTCAAGGTGTCTGACTCTGACTTAGCCCTCCAGCACTGCCTCTTTTTTTTAATATCTTGCTACGGCAGACTATATGGGTGACCAGACAGCTCTTGAAATTCCATTGCCATAAACTCCAGGTCCTTGATATATTTACTTAAGAGGTACCACAAAACAGCCACAAGCTTCTGTCATGGGCTGCGAAGAGCTAATATCTGTAGAACTAATGGATGGAGTCAGATTCAGCACTGGGTCGGGACTGAGCAATGCTGAACCGGTAGGGCATTTACAGCAGGTCTTAAAGATAGTACACAGCACAGAGAGAAGCATGGGCCGCGTCTTGCTTCGGATCTGGAGCCAACAAATTGTCTCAGAAGAAACACAAAATCTGCAAAACAGTTTGAGATATATTCCTTTACAGCCTTTGACAGGGAGATTCACATTGAGCTTTGGAATATTTATATAAAATATGTTGATGGGCCTCATTCCACTGCCTGCTGGACAAAGGTCCATTGGTTGGATTCCTCCTGTTCCATCAGCAGAAGCTCCATTGGACAAGTACTTACACTTGTGCAGTGGGACTTCCCATCTCCTCCTCCCTCTGGGTTGTCTCTGCAGCTCCAGAATTGGCTCTGCGGGGTTGGGAGAACCCCCCAGAACAGAGCATGGGGGAGGAGAGGAAGGATTGTTTTGTTTGGCA